ACAGAGCAAATAAAACTCAAAGGCACTGACAAAATGTCATCTGTACTGTACTACTTTTCAAATGTAATTACTGTCGGCTTATTTTATATTACTCAGTGCCATGCACAAAGGTGGGAGACAGATCTCAGTGGTGACTGGGTTCAATCAGGAACACAGCCATAGGAAAACACTGAAAAATCAAATGTCACTGAAAAACAATGTCATCGGCGGCTCCTGGAACTGGAAATCACTCCAAGGTTTCCACCCCTCCAGCAGGCACTTTTCACTCAAAAACAGGAAGTGCTCCTCTATTAAGATAGCAGAACACCACCGGAAACAAAAAGGCCACCCAACACAAAAATGTAACGGAGTGCAGTACCAGTAACACAAACAGCACGTCCGGAAGCACCTTCAGTCAGAAAGAGAGTCTTTGTGCGAGACCAACACCTGACCGTTCTCACCCTTAAGCCCACTAAAAATGATGAGGGTTCGACTCGGTGCGCAGCGGAAAAGCACAGCTCTCCCTGCCACTGCCTGCCCACTGGGAGCCACTGGACCAGCGATTAAGCAGACAGACGTGAGCAGAGCGCCCCAGCCTTAACAGACTCTCAGAAGCCAGGAGCTGAATAGTAAATTAATGTAACATTTTATTCTGTGTTTGGGCCTCCTTTTGTCTCGTTTGATTTTAAATCAGGCACACATTTTTTTCCCCCCAAATCAAAAGGCCAAGGGGTTCGTGAGGTTTCTACAGCGGGCTTCGCAGAGCAAAGGAAACAACTGAGCCTCTGCCTGTATTTTCTGCTTGCTGAGGGCCATTCATGCGATTCCAAACAGCCCAGAAACGAGAGAAACACTGACACCAGGGAATGAAACTAGGCCGTGCCCCAGCTGAGGGCACTCTGCCCAACTATTCAGAGCCCCCTAAAAGGGAACTATTCATAATTTTGAGGTCACATGGCTGCTATTCAGGGCACACACAGTATACCTAAACTGAGTTGTTGGGAAGCACACAAAAGCGCCATTCAGATTTAGGTTCTTTTTCTTGCGCTTCCACCAGAATACTTATAAAAACTTTCATCATCTGAAAGGAAAACAAACTTCAAACATCAATTTTCTCTGTATAGACTGAAAGGTGGGAATACTGGATTTCCAGGCACATCAGATAAGTTGAACAGTTTCATGTGAAACTGATCTCTGTTCCTCACAGCATTTCCACTAGCAAAATGTACCATGATGCACTTGTATATGTACAATCATGCACTTTTATAACTTTATATCTTCTCATAAAAGTAGCCACACATGGCTAGTGACTGGGAATATTTGTCTTCATCTCCCTTGCAAAATAGGCGTTTCTTGTTCTACGGCTTTCCCTCTATCAGGGAATCAGCTGTCAGTTTATTTATTCCAAGTAAGTCACTGTTGGAACATTCTGAATTAAATTAAATGGCATATTGCATTTGACAAGAAACAAATAAACCAATCTAGAAAAATGGAAATTACCAAACCTGGTTATATGCTTATACAGTACCTTAGTTTTACAATGAACATAAAATTAAAATAATTAGCAGAAGAACAAGCATCTCAGTAAAAAAGAAGCCTTGAAATGAACTTCAGCAGAGCACATCCCCACAGACAGGTCACATGCAAGGAGCAATCCATAGTCTACAGAGCTCAGTCTTCATGTCTGTTCAGATCAAAGACATGTCTGGGTCAACGTCTTCTAGTTCTCCATCGGAAACATTGGCCTGCATCTCGTGCAACACGACACACCTGAAATCCTGAAAGACCATGCATGTCCCTAGAAACCAGTGACCTCTCCAGAAATGCAACCCAAATGATCAAAGGTAACATTTCATGCAGCTCTGGTACAGCTGTGTTTTCACACCCCTGCGACGAAGGCAAAGCACTCGTCATTTCAATCAAATCCACTCCACGAGCTTTGAGGAATTGACAACTATGCTCACGCAAAGCAGTGAGAAGACATTTTCGTCATTACACATTACTCTCTCAAACACAGCTCCAGTGCAGGCAGCAGTGCACACACGCCAAGGACGAAGCTGCAGCGAGTGTTTTGAAAGCTGTTCAGCCTTTCAGTTACAGTACTTACTCTCAAAAAAGGGAGCCCCAGGCTAGAGTGTCTGCTGAGGCCTACCATTTTAAAAAGCAGACCCACTATTTATTTGGATTTGTTTCTCCTGTCACAGAGCTATCATCAAACTCAACTTATACTTTCGGATTGACATTTGCTGCCGTGTTGGTTCCAAGACACAGATCCCACTGCAGGCTGTGCTTGCTCAGCCTGTGCCAGATCTGAAGGGTGCTGCTGGCAAGCCTCAGTTACGATTACTCCAGAGGTTACTCCTCTACAGCCACCCCTGGACAACGCAGAATCTAGATAAAGCTTATTAATGTACTGTCCGCCAGTTTTGAACTACAACAACAGGCAGCCTCCACAGTGTCCACATAGCCTACACCAATCCCCCAGTCAGTGTGTGCCAGCTACTTCACTCTAAAGTCATTTGTTAAACACTCCATTCACATAAGGACATTAGTACTCATGTGCTGCGATAGAAGCTGATCCATGATCCATAAATGTATAAATAATCTGAAACCTACCTGACCCGTTTTCAAGGCTGCAGCTAAAACAAACACCAACACCTCAAAAGTTTCCAGACTAACAGCAATATCCTGAACTGAACTCTTTCAGCTTCTTTGGAAGCAATACATCGTTATTTAATTTTGTGTGGTCTTCTTCAGTGCCTTATAAAACGGTGGTGTCCGGTTTTAATTTATGATAATGAATGTATTCATCTTAAGGCACAGCTATCATCAAGACAAGCACAAACCTCTGTAAGTTAGGATACTTCACAGTGCACAGGAGACAATGGCTTTGTTTTCATTTTAAACGTGCCCCTCCTGACCAGCAGGCCTCATCTGTTAATATCAAACCAAATCCATGCTTCACTTTGCTATTGCACATTGCGGGGGCTCGCCAACACTGTGCTCCTAGCTATTTGTTTAACTGCTGTATGTTTCCCCATATCCAGTCATTTCTAGCTAGATGCAATGTCTTGTGGTAACATTAATATTAATTTGAGATATTAATGCTTTCAATGCCAACTGCACTCTTAGGTATGGTAATGTAAATTAAGAGATAACTGAACTGTCACTTGCGGTGGAAAAAACCTACCATCCCTGACCCAGCTCTGGGGCTAGTACTGGGAAGTCACTCTGTTGATCTATAAAGAAATCAGCCATAAGAGCTTTACACTTTCTAGCAGAGCTACACCGCTGGAAGAAGGGAAACCTGTGACACTGTAAAACATTCATTTAAGTGTAGCCAAAATCAGGTACAAACACGCAGGCAGATGTGTGTTAGAAGAGTCATATCATTCTCTTCTCTGCGGTAAGAAAGCCAGATGTGGACATTGAAATGTTTTGCCAGCCTTTTCACTGACGAATTAAGATTCCAACACCCCGGCACCCTTCAGGAAAACGCCTGGGTTTTCTTCAAGGGAAACGCCACGCTGCACTCTCCTGCCGGAGGACAGCTCGGCGCCTCGAGAGGGGCGGCCCGCAGCACCAAGCGCCCTCCCTGCCCAGGCTGCAGGCCGAGAGCGGCCTCGTCCGACTTCTCCCTGCACGCGCGCCCCACATTCCCACACAAAACCGAGCGAGTGTCGCCGAGGCTCCGCTATTCGGATATACAAGACTGGAGCGCTTCGGGCCCCTGAAGGTGCAAGTCAGTTTCAGCGCATGATTAAAATTTTTGTAAAGGAATAAAAATGCATTGTGGTTTAAATAGCGCCAATAAAGCCCCGACACAGCTGTCACCTGCTTCTCTCTTCAGCACATGTGAACAAAGCAGCCTGACAACAGCCTCTCATTCGCCATTCATGCCTTTGGTCCTCCAAACGTTGGTCGAGCGTGTCAAATATTGTGTCCAGCAAGTGGACACGAGCCCCCCCCCCGGTACAGCAGGACCTTGAAAGACATCACAAACTTCATCTGTCAACAAGACCACTGACTTTTCGACAACAGGACAGAGCCCCCGGGTGACAGGCTGTTCAGTCGCACAAGGTATTGACAGAAACTGACATCAGTCAGACTCCCTTCACAAAAAAAATAACAACACACAAAGAAATCAATTAGACAGCACAGCCTCGAAATACATTGAGTAAAAATAAGCATTTTTTTATGAAGATCTGCACTGAAATTATTTTAAGACATGCTATCAGGATTACAATATTCTAATCTGCAGAAGAACCTTTGACCAACCCTTCATAAACTCATATCCGAACATCCCAAAACGCATCTCCGGCGCTGTCCAGCTGTGTGAAATAAGACTTGTGAGCAATGAGCGGAGAATAAAAGGCAGTACAAATAAAAGGACTGACGTAGTTTTGTTCCCTGCTCAAATCCTTGCAGTGCGCCGCAAGATAAGGAAATCTAATATGACTCTTGCCTGGCGCACCCTCACAAACCTGCCCTGAATCTGACAAGACAACGGCCTCCTGTGCAGAGCCCTACCTTCCCCAGCCGTCATCGTGAGAGCATTCCTTCTGCCCAGAGCTGCGAGTGTGCCGAGACGCAGATCCTGCTCCCTCAGTATCTCCCAGCCGACACCGCCCCCCTCCTCCCCAAACCGGTCTTGTGACCTCGCGCACGACAACTGCCACCCTTCTCCAGAATAAAAGCCCCCCCGTGTCAGAGCCCCGTGCGACAGCGGCTGTCCCTTCCTCCGGAAGCAGGTGGGCAGAGCTGTGGCTGCCTCCAGCTCCCGAGCCTGTGCTGGCGGTGCGTTAGTGAAGCGTTAACCTGCGAGCTGCACAGGAAGGAAGACCTCGGCTGACATTGGAATATTTTCTCTACATCTCGCCCAGCCGCTGGAGCATATAAACACACAAAAAAAAGCTTCTCCCTCAGTGCTGTGGAAGCTACAGGCTTGAATATATCTACACACACACACGTATACACTGAAAGCATCATATACAGTATACAGGGAGACATTAAAAACATAACAGCTAATAATTGGTACCAATATCATTTACTACATTTTGTACTTTTTCTTGTTTCTGTAATTGTATGCTCATCCGAATGAAACATTTCAGCAAACAACATTCACACACTGAACGCTTAAATCTCGTTTTCCATAAACACAGGAAAACATATAGAGCAGGATTATGATTTGTTTTGACATAGGAGCCCCTCTAGAACACATCTGAAAAAACTGGGCAGCATATATCTCACTTTCAAACATTTCATCCATAATATTCAGTCTGAACACCGGAGAACCTGCAGCTGCTTTCTGGTTTCTCACACACATAGGGACATAAACTGTGAGAATGTTTGTACCAGCAAGGTTTTCTTAATAAAGAGGTACACTATAGCTTTAATGTACAGATACAATCCTCCACTCGAAAAACATTTCAAGTGACATCTATATGACATTTACATGCCATATACCCCTATAACAGAAGGACCAACAGACAATGAAGCATGCAATACATTTTCTGGGACACACATGCATTTAAAAAATATGGGCTGAAACTGAACAAAAAAAACATAGCTGGACATATATATATATACAGTCATTCTCGGTTAATGACGCCAGTTAATGTGCAGTCAGTTAAATACTTATACTACCCCGAGGCAAAATCACAGCCGCCCCAGTTAGCAATTACTGCGTCTTTTTCTCTTCCAAAGCCATGTTATTCCTTGCCTCGATCTAGCGTGCAGCTAACACACACCTTCCTCTGACAAACACTGGGGGCAGGGGCGCTGGCACAGAAGTAGACGGCTAGATCCAAATAACAAAAACAAAAATCTGACTGAAGCCCCAACCATTTTTACTGGAGAGATCGCCTACAGAAATCTGCAGCACGTGAAGAGAGAAATAGTTCAATTTCAAACCCTGATTACAAAAAAAAAACATCAGTTGTTTTTCCCAAGGCTTCACTGTATTTGTCAATTATTTTAATAAAACTATTAATGTGGCTACAATGCTGATGCTGTAAATAGACGAACGGGGATGACGCATGAAATGACAGGATTTACACTTTTCGGTCTGAGAGTAGATGATTTTCACCCTTGAATGACTGCGATTTGCTTTCTTAATTAAAATCAGATCTCATTCCCCATCTTTAACAAGATGCCTGT